ATGCCGCTCAAACTGACGCTGTTTGCTTTACGGCTTTTAGTTGAACATTTTCCGTTTCTAACTTGTGCCACAAGGTTAATTGTAATGAAAGCAGTTTTATAAATCAAAAAGTTAAAACTGCAGTCTTTTAAAATAAGAACAGCAAATGGCCTCGTGCTGGCAAAGAGCTGTGCTATCCCTGATTTTCTGCTCATGCCTGAAGTGAACACTGCAGGAAAAGGCACCCAGGTAGCGCAGATAAAAGACAAGCAGCGAGGGCAACCTAGTGCACCATGCCCTGGGGCGGGCAGAGGCCTGTGGGCGTCCCACGGGGCCAGGCCACCCGCCTCCAGGGCCACTGAGGAGCGGACAATGGGCAGGCTCTCCTTGTGGGCAGACTCAGAGCTGCAAGTCCTCCCTTTTCCTCTGGCATCAAGTAACTCCATTCGGAGGGACTACTGATTGTTTACTTCCCACAGTGAAGTTACGCTGCTTTTTTTTTTTTTTTTTTTGTGGTCAGAATTTTAGAATGAGCTTCCTTTAAGACGATTTTATTATTTTTAATGCTATTTTTTTTAAAGACTAATCACTGACAATGAGAAGAGTTTAAAATAGAATTTTAGGCTTCCAGATTTTAATGGCCCCAGAAAAACTCCATTGTTAACTCAGAAGCAGCTGCATACATCTAAAAAATCATTGTGCGATTTGGCAGGGTTTCTTAAGAAACTTGAAGCTCAGCAAAAAAAGTTAAATAAATTATCCTTGAAAAATTCCCCAAATGCTCAAGAAATAACTTCCAAGGGAATTTTGTCCATTCAATTAACTGTGCAGCATTCGCTTTCGAACAGCAAATTTATGGATCTGGCATTTTAAGCAGTCCAAGAATGCGCAGAGCGGCGCTCCCAGCTCCGCGGTCGCCCAGCAGATTGGCCAGGGACCTGACGGCCTCTCGACTCCTCTCGAGGGAGTGCTCGGATCCCTGGGATATTCCGCAGGGACCGAATTCTGCTGCTCAGGAGTTCCCAGTGTGAGTTACACACAGGAACCCCAGAGAGTGTCAGAGGGAGCCATGCCTGGCTCTCGGCCCGGAGTGAGCCAAAGTCTACATGGGTGCAGCCCGGCATCAGAAGGGTGTTGTAGTGTAGTCTGAGTACCACAGATGTGCCAGGGCCACAAAGAAAAAGATAATGTGAGCGCCTCTCCAAGTGTTTGGTTCAATGTCTGTTCTGACAGCACTGAAGCGCAGGAAACGGGCGTGGAGAACTCTAAGGCTGTGCTGCCTTATCTCAGAGGGGACCTAGTGAACGGGTTTATTTTTCGCCCACACTTCAGAACCTTACAGTTTGAACAAAAGGAGTCCTCTCCCTGCAGTTGCTTCTGAGGCCCAGTAGGAACTTCAGAAATCTCTGCCCAGGCCCAGTTTTACTGCAGAGGACAACAGCGGTCACAAGTGTCACTCTAGCTACACCAACTCCTACCAGGTGCCCAACATCTCACCTTTCAGTGGTTCCGTGGACAGACACCTTTGTTACCCACTTACAGAACAAGAAAGTGGAGCTCTGAGATAGTGGGTTATTTGCTAACACAAAAGAGCAAATGCCAAGTCACAGAACTTGGTCAATTCCAGAGAAAGCATATCAAAATGCCCTGCAGCTCAGAGCCTTTGCCTCTCCAGACCTCATGGCCATTCGCAGTCGGGAAAGGCTCTCCCACCCCTACTCCTGGTGCACCCAGGTGGAGGCTCAGCCTTAGTTCCACCTTAGACCCAAGACCAAGTTGACAGTGGTGATTAGTCAGATCGGCACGGTAACCCAGTACAGATGAAGGCAGGAGGCCCAGGTAGTGCACTATCCCCTTCCCTAGAGACACACAGGGGTAGGGCTGGAGTGTGAGGCATGTGGTGGGTCTCATACACCCAGCGAGGATACCAATACCATAACGAAGACACTGGCTACCCCTACATTTCGGCAGCCTGCTAATCAGACATACGGGGATAATAGGCCCAGGCTGGGTGTGCGTAGGTGGGAGAGCCAGGACTGACAGGCAAGGATGTCTACCTCTAACCCCCTCCTCTGAATGGGTTTTCTAGCTGTAACACAGACAGAAGAGCCAGCCACCAAGTGAGCCCAAGGACCCCCATCAGAGCTGACTCCTTGAGAAGTCTGGGATGCTAAGACTTGTATTCAGGGACGCTCCTCTGTTCCACGTCAAGAGGAGATTTGAGGTCCTCTTCTTAAGTCACTTAAATCTCAACAGGGCTTCCACAGCCTAGGATTTATGCCTTCATTGGAACCCTAATCACTGGGGCTCTGGCAATCTGATGACTCCAGAAATCTTGTGAGCCTTACTCCCCAGGAAACCCCAGCACCTGGCAGAAAGAGCTCTCCAGAGAACAAGGATGCACCAAAGAAGTATTTGCTATTCTGGATCAAACATTAGGCTAGTTAATCATTCTGAGTCACACATCACTGTGCATAGCAGAAACCATAATGCTGATGTTTCAAAGATATACTGCAGCTTTATGAGCTTGGGAGCTCCAGTTCCAGAGTTAATTCTGGAGATCTACAGCTTTAAATGGGTTTTGTTTCTTTCACTGATGTTATTATAAATAACACATGCAGGGACTTGGAATATCTGCTGCTTCCTGAACCTTCTCCAGGCCTTGTCTCACCTTGAAGTCACCCCATCCTCCCTCCTGCAGTTAGTCGGTGCTCCCAGAGCTCACAGGGAATGCCGACTCCTCCAAGGGCCTTCCTCGCCTTCCCCAACACCCCCTCAGCCCTTTAGCTGCAGCACTCTGCCCTTCTGGGTTCACACAGCAAAGGTCCTCGATTACAGTGTGAGCTTCTGCAGGCTGTACTGCCCTCAGCCACTGTCCTCGGTGCCTTCCCTCCACGGTAATTTCTCTGACAGGTCCAGGTATTGAGTGGCTCATCCCATGGTCAGGTCGCTTCAGCCAGCGGCAGTACATAGGAGATAAAACAGTGAGCTCTTAAGACTGCCAGAAAACATCTCAAGTCCAGCGAAATCACTTTTCAAATCACAGAAAACGACTCTATTACAACGGACACAGGGAACAGCAGATTCTGGATCCATGACAATTGGTTTCTAGAGATGGAGCAACAAAAGGGTGATAAGGCATCAGCCTGTGCGAAGACCTCACTCAGCTCCCTGGGACAAAGCTACACCAGCAAAGAAAGGTGCTTGGCCAAGAAAAGGGACAACACTTTCTCTGGCTTACACACATACACCACAGTGGATAGCTACGGGGCCTCCTCAGGTCAGCTTTCTGCCGTCTGCACATGAAGAGGAGCATGCTGGGCAGGCATCCCCAAGCTGTACCAAGATGTCTTGCTGCTGCCAGCAACAGCAGATGCAGAAGCCCGGAGAAGGCCATGGGGTGCAGACTGGCTCGGTCACCCAAGGACAGCCCTGCTGAGGATGCGCCCACATTCTCCTTACCTCTAATCACCTAGCAGACGCATCGCCCAACGTGCAGTTCAAACGTCCATTTATCAACTCTGATGACACAGTCAGCAAACACAATCAGCTCTAGAAAGCCTCCCACTGTCTCCTGGCAGAGGTTTCCTAACACTCAGGGGCTGACAGCCCTTATACCTTCCTGAGCCTGGAAGATGCAGTGTGGGAAAGATGGAGGGAGGGCCAGACTATGCTGAACCCCATCCATCCGCACACAGGTTTCCATGACAGGAACCTGTGACAACACAAAATGCCCCCTCCCCATGATAACACAGGCTCACGAGAGTCTTAGTCCCAGAAATGTAAAAGCTGAGGCAGGCAGGAGTCCCCTCTACTAGTCTTCCACCTAAGTCTCTATACACCACCACCTGCTGAGATGTACAAATTTGACTAGCCCACCCTTGATAGCGAGGGAAAGCCAACCCAACTGCAGCTGACCCTAACCCTCATGCCCTCTATGCTCCTGCCCAAACAAGGGCCCGTCGCATCCTTCCTGAGCCTGGCCCTGCTCACCTCATGCCACTCCCTGGAGTCAGGTTTCTCTCAATATGGAGCTGTCATATCTTGGACTTATCTACCCTTCAAAGTGCAAGCCAATGCCCCTACCCCAGGTGAGAGCCTCCTCCCCACTCCTGCAAGAAGGCCGCGTCCTTGCATGCTCCAGGGCTCTGACTCCTTATGCCGCAGTCACGTGTGAGGAGGGCTGCCCTTCCTAGACAGGGAGCAAACCACAACGCCCAGGGGCTCTGCACGGTGGACTCAGCCTCTACCAGACAGTGGTGAGCTTAGTTTCCTAGGCCTTTTACTGTGTATGTCCCCCTGAAATATGGTCCTGCTCCTCACTATCGACTATTCTAGATTTAACACAAATCATGTGCGTCATAGTCAAACACACCACTGAATTTCAATTTCTACCTTTACCTGACATGCAAGTGGGAACAGAAAAGAGAACATCTGCAGGAAGACACCATGATTAACAATGCCAGTTAGCTCCAGGGGCTGACTGAGGACACCTAGTGTTCCAGTGTGGGGTTCCAGGCAGGTGGGCTACAAAGCAACCATCACTGATCCTCGAGCATTTAACAACTACTTAGCAGGGAGAACAGGTTTGTTCCCAGCCCCTGATGGGCTAAGCATTTATCTCTGTATGGGTGGCACAGGGGGGAAGTCACCTGAGGTCACACGAAAGTCAAGGGGACCCTACTCTTCCAGTCCTTGTTTTGTAATACTGCTCACTCTGGGGTGAGGACACTTCCTCTCCGGGAGTTCAGGGTGAATGTGTGTGTTCACTGAATCCAAGGTCCACAGCACAACCGTGTGACCCTCCTCAAATATAAAACCTCTTACTAAATAAGAACCTAATCCCAAGCCTCAGACAGAAGAAACCCAGAGTTGGCATAAATGCACTTGGTCTCTCTGCGCCAGGGACAGGCGGGGAGCGGGTGGCTGGGAAGAGGTCATGCTGCCCACAGCCTCAGCAGGGCATCTGCAGAGCCCCTGGTCGGCATGGCCGGGGGCAGGTGGGGCAGGGCAGCACCTACTATTGCGTTTGCCTTCTTCTCCGCCCTCCTCCTCGTTCTCAGGGTCAATGTCTTCTGCCTGAGTGATCCAATCCAAGTAGCCCTTGAGATCTTCTTCCAGCTGCTGCTTCTCCCGTAGCTTCTGGAAGTCTCCCCGTGCTTTAGCCTTCTCTCTTTCCTTTGAGAACTCACTGAAGAAAGCAGAGAGAACAAGTACCTGTCAGGACCTCCTCGGGGACAGGCACCATGAGCTGTCTGCCCTGCCGCACAACGGCTCGTGGCAGGACACACAGCCCTGAGTCTGTAGCCACATGAGCACAGTAACGGGGTCACACACGTGTACAGGATAGAAGACAGCGTCTCCCTAAGCAAGACCGCAGGGTCAGAGTTGCACGGACCATACCAACACACATGCATCGCTGTTAGGAAACGAGCTGCCTTCAGGATGACAGAAATCCCAAACAGCTCAAGCCAGAAAAAGCCACAGTGGACCTCTCACACTCGCCACCGGGGGCCTCAACTCAGCGCCTCCTGATACCCGCCATCTCATTTCAAAGAGAAGGAGCCCATGTGGGCCAAGGTGAAGCCTAACACAGCACCTGACTTGGGGGCTTCTTCAACACCTGTGGATAAGACTTTGCATTCGTATTATGGGCTCTGCATTCGCCACGGCCAAGAGCCCCAGAGGGGAGTGGCCCTTGGTGCCTGATGTCCATAATAGGCTGCCCTCCTCATCCCCCACAACACCAGGCCAGAACAGACAAGGTCTGACAGACCGATCCCCTCAGCCCGGCTCCCCCCTCCCTGCAGGAACCTGAGTTCCAATGAAGCCCTTCGACCTTCCTCAACCCTTACTTCTTCCCATCATCTTTTCCCAAGTGTCCTCCCTGCAGGAGGTGAAAGGGCAGTGTAATCTGTTGCCCAATTTGGGGAACACCTGCTCTGGAAAGGCTTTGGCACCCATGCAAATACTCCCAACTGTTCCTCATTTACTCTCCCTTCCGCATCTACAACCCCATATCTACGCATCTACATAAAATCCCACACTCATTCAGGCAAGTCTAGGATTCAGGTGGACAGTTACCTAATTTTTATGCACCAGGAACCATCTGCATTTCCAACTGTGAACAGTTCCAGGAGCCGAGTTATACATTCAGAAAGTACACCGAGACGCTTTTGGCAAAGCAGGGTGAGGTCCCAGGGAGGGAACCTTCTGCATACAGACCCCATGATTCTGACAGCTGTCTCCCTGCACACTGACCTTCCCATTCAGAGTGAGCACAACACCTTTACAGAGACCTAATGACTGACAAGGAGGAATCACCCAAGTTCATCCTTCATAGGGCTGGACAGGCTTGAAACCCTGCAACACCAACCCTGAATAAGAAACTGGAATCCACCATGAGAAATGGCCTGACGCACTGCCCCTAAATAAGTCCCCCTTTCCGATCCCCCAAACTGACCCCCCACCTGCTGTTTCCACTCACATTGCTGGGATGTGAGAAAAGGGGAGAGGCTGTGGGGGTCCTGGGTGCACTCTCAGGAAGCCGGGGTCAGGAGTTTGTAGGGCAGACCAGAGCTCTGACCCCTGGCCTATAGGCACATCTTTCCACCCAGAACACCCGCCTTTCTCTAAAAGAAGGGGTCCTCAGAGGGCAGGGTATGCTTCTCACACAAACCACAGCCCGAGGAAGTCTAGGGCTTCGAGGCCTCCTAGGCTTCCTGAGACACAGGAGACGCAGGACTCAGCCCTGGCAAGGTCACCAACTTACTCTGAACTCTGTAAAAGTCATATTTAATCAAGAATCACATCCCTGAGCAATCTGGCATGGCGTGTGTCCATGGGAAAACACGTTATATAATCTGTTTTCTTAAACACATAGTAAGGAACAAGCAGACCTTCCATCCTATTATGCACTGAAATGTAATTTTAATCTATTAAAATGCTTTCATTTTGGACTCAGAATGGAAATGTAGACGATAAATAGAATATTCTTATTTTGGGTTTACTATCTGGTCTTTCTTGAAGAAATGATAGGCAGTGAAAGAGTTGCCCTGTGAAGTTTATGGATTCATCAAATCTTACTTTAATATCATATTTTGCATATTTACATTAGAACTACAAAAGTCCATCTCTGATGAGCTGAAAACTATTGCACATGCTTGGCTATTAGGGCATAGTTAAGCAGGTATAAGTAAGACCCTACTAGGACTAAAATTTATGAATTAAGAACCTGCTAAATCCCATTTATGGCCCATTTACTTAAAATAAGAGTCATTATTACAAAAGTTCATGTAACGAAGCTGTTGTTTCTGGCTTATGTCTATCTGTCCCCACAGAAACTCAGGTGGTGATGAGGCCACGGTGGGGTGCTAGAGTTGTGGTTAATTCACAACCCAAGGCTGGGCTTATGCATGCGCGTGCGCACCTGCCCCAGGGCAGACAGCCCGGATGCAGAGGGGAGAGGGGCTTGCTCTTCGCCTCTTCCGCTGTTGCCGCCACCACCACCGCCACCACTGCTCTGCATTTTTGCTCTTGCTGTTTTGCTGTTTTCTGCTACCATGAACTGCTGCCCTCTGCCACATGCCACCCTGCCTTGGAGCCAGCTGAGTATGGACTGAAACCTCCACAAACTGTGAGCTAAACAAACCTTTCCTCCTTTAATTCTGGGTGGCCAATATTTTGTCCCAGCAATGAGAGAAAAGTCACTGAGACAGCTGTCTATATACTATATCAATTCCCTAATTTGATTTTGGACAGTTCTCAATGGTGTCATACCTAGCAGGCAGATAGCATTGACAAATTTGGACAGAACGGAGGTTTATAGGGCATAAATCTCTTATTAGGAAAGGGACAGAGATAGGGGCTATCTGATAGGCCAAGATGCTTGCTTGGTCCACTGAGACTACTTGGGCCCTGGATCTGAAGATCTAGCTCTCTGCTTTCTTTTCTGAGCTTCCAGTTTTCCTCAGTTGCAAAACGGAATATCCATTCTACTGTTTCATATGAATTAAGACATTCAGTAAGTTGATACTTCAATGATTGCAAAGCACTGTAAAAATGGAAAATTCAAATGTACAGCATTTAGTCCTAAGAGGGGAATGAAAAAAGATGATGACTGGGGGAGCTGTCTCAAACACCAAAGGGAGAGTGAGGAAGAGCCCTGAGCGGCTCTAAGCTGCTGTGAGTCCCAGCAGACACGTGGACAAGTGTGTGGGACCCGAGGGCTGAGCACACCACGAACCACCACACCATGAGCCACCACACCCATATCAATGCCACAGCACTGTCCCTTGGGCTGAGAATAACCTATTCCCACCACCACAAACCTTCAGTTGCAGAAAATCTCATTGGTCTGCATCCTGCATTTATCTTGGTGAATGAATTTTTATTCTTTTTCATTTATTTACTCTATTGAAGTCACTCCACTTTGCACTGTATTTCACCATCTTCTAAGGAGCCCAGCAGTAAGAGATTATGTGGTCTATTTTGGAAGAAGGACCATGTGCTGCTAAAAAGAATGCATATCCCGTTGTTGCAGGGGGATACTCTGTAGATCTTGTTTCAGTACTGGGGATTAAACTCAGGACCTTGTGCTTGCCACCCAGGTGCTCATGTTGCTGAGGTGTACCCCCAGCCCCGTGGAGGTATCTATTAAGTCCATTTGTTCAAAGGTTTGGCTCAGCTCTGATATTGCTTTGTTGATTTTTGTTTTGTCTAGGAGATCTATCTGTGACAGTAGGGTATCCAGGTCCCCCATTATAGTTGTGTTACTGTTTATCTGATCATTTTTTTGTTCTGTGAAGCCAGCATACCAGTACTTGTTGCGTGTTTGTTCATCATTATTCTGTTGAATTATTTCCTTCACCAAGTGTACTGACTTAATTTGCCTCGTCTGACCCATTTTGGCTTGAAGCAGGCTTTGTCTGCAATTAAGAAAATGATTCCTGCTTTCTTCTGTATTCCTATTGCATGAAATACTATTTTCTGTCCTCTGATTTTTTAATCTTTAAGTTTCTTTTTTTGCTTAAATGTGTTTTCTATACCTTGGGTATCCCTGGGTTTTGTTTCTTGATCCATTCCTTCCAATCCAGGTCTTTTGATTTGGAATCGAGGCCATTCACACTGAGGGTTACCATTGAAAGGAATTAGCTTACTCCTCTCATTGATTACTGCTGGTTTTCTCCACCCCTTCTGCTCTGCTGCTCACCCTGCCTGGTGTTGTCACTCTGTTTGACTTTTGGTCTATTTCTAGGATAGCTTGAAGATTATTTTTGGAGTGCTGGTTTTGTAGTCATGAATTTCTTGAGGTATTGTCATGGAAATACTTTATTGTTCCATCAATTTTAAAGACATTTTGCAGGGGATATAAATCTGGGTTAGAAGGTGTTATCTTTTAGGACTTGAAATGCTTCATGCCAATTTCTCTTGGCCTTTAACATTTGTGTTGAGAAGTCTGCTATAATTCTCATGAGATTTATTGATTTTCTGGAACAGCTTGTAAGACACTGTGTCCATGTTGGATTTCCAGGATTCTAATTGCCGTGTGCTATGGAGAAGTCATAGCACATACCTACAGTTATGGATCATACCTTTGGATCATACCTACAGTTCTACATGGCTCACTTACCTGTATGCTTAACCGTTTCCATAGCTTTGGAAAGTTTTCTGCTGTTATTATCAATTGATTCTTTTTATGCCATTTGTGCCACCTTCTGATTTTCCACCTATGCCAAGCAATCTCA